GTTCAAAATTCTGGGTTAACACAATTCTGTACTTAACACTAAAATAACTATACTTTTTTTGACTTGGTTACCTATGTCCCCCCAAATATTTTATTTCAATAAAAACAGGTTTTATAGTAAAACTAGAGGCCCAGTGCATGAATTTCATGCACTGGGGGGATTCTCTCAGCCCAGCCTGCACCCTCTGGCAGTCTGGGAGCCCTTGGGGGATGTCCGACTGGCATGGAGGCCGGAGAGGCTCTGTCACCACTGCTGCGTTCGCCAGCCATGAGCCCGGCTTCTGGCTGAGTGGAGCTCCCCCTGTGGGAGCACACTGACTACTGGGGGTATCTGTCCCCTGATGGTCAGAGTGCATCATAACAACTGGTCGTTCGCCGTTCAGTTGAGTCGATTTGTGTATTAGCCTTTTATTATATAGGATGATTCTTTTTCTGAAAGTTCATATATAGCAATTGGGAAGCTAGGGGGTACACAAAAGGATACAGTCAAAATGTTCCCAAAATATTAATCCTAATTCCTCAGGTAAGTTTCAAAAACTTACATTTTCCAAAAAGTTTGAAAAAAAAAAAGAACACACAATCTAAATACTAAGTGGGGTTTCATCGGATATTTCTTGAAAGCTTGAAAAGTACCGAGTGTACTTTCTGGAATGAAGTGAGGAAGTGTAGTACCACTATACTCAGTGCAGTGACTTATTTATTTTAAGATGTTCAGTTTTCCTGCTAATTTTGTTATTGCATCGATCACTGCCATTCAAGTCCCCTTGACGTGCTTATGTAGCCGTATGACACCAGGACCCATAGTTTGCAACACCCAGTGCAAAATGTCGCTCAGCTTTCACTTCGTGAACGTGGCTGCTGACTTCCCTGTGATTCCTCTCAGTCCCCTTTGCATGAACAGATCTTCTAGGGAGTGGTTGGACAGGATTAGAATGATAGTGACTTTATGTTGCTATTCCTATGGGGGCAGAGAGACCATGGGGAATTAGATAGAGACTTGTCAAAGTGTGTCAGCTCTTTAACACTGAAGCTTTATTGAGGTGTGAACTCTATTAAAAGGCATGCTCTAGCACCCTGATTAGATCTGCTTAACCTAGCAATTCTGAAAGTGACTCAAGCCTACATAATTGTTACTACATTATAAAATTCAGCTATATTCTGAATATTATAAATCCCGTGCGGCTGTGTGGTTCCCAGGGGTTCCACCTGGAGAAGCGCTGAATAGTTGTTTACCTTCTCAGGGTCTACCACCTGTAGGGGTACTCAGTAAGTGTGTGTGGGATGAAGATCAGTCCCATCTATAAGCTCTTTCCAATTTTGTATGTTTTTAATCTACTAATGAAGCTTGTCTCATTGGTTTTAATCCTAATTTAACATTGAATGTAAACATTCTAGATTCTTCTCTCTTGTGCCTACTTTGTGCACTGCAGGAGATATTGTTACTCCCGTTCTTTCTAGTTACCAGCAGTTCAGAGTTTCTTTCACTAATTCAAGGTTTTTTTGCCTCATCTGTTTTAAAAGAATAACTATTTGATTTGCAATCTACAAAACAGAATGTGGGAAGCATCAAAAAATTATGTCTTCTCTTAATGGGAAACCATCACATCATCACTATTGTACTAGTAGCTGTAAATAATACTTGTTAAGCACTAACAGCTAGGCAGTGTGCACAGTTTTCTTTTTTGTGTGATTGTTAATCATATCATCACAGCAAGTCTGCAGAGTTTTACAGATGAAGAAATTGAAGGTCAAAGAAGTTAGGCATCTATACATATATAAAACCCTAATATGCAAATAGACCAAACGGTGGAACAACCGAATAGTCAGTCACTATGATGTGCACTGACCACTAGGGGGCGTACTCAGAACATGGCTGGGCGTGGGCTGCAGCAGGATAGTGGAGCAGGTGAGGGAGGGTGCCAGACCAAGGTGGGGCACCAGTCGCTGTCATTGGGGCGAGCCTCTGGTGGCGCTGGCCCCACTCTTATCCACTGCTGGCGCTGGAGCCACTGCTTGCACCTGCTGCCGGCACCCACCACTGGCCCCAATTGCTCAGCGCTGTCAGTGGGTGCGAGTGGCAGCTGCTGGCCCAATTGCCCCTCAGGGCTTCTCTACCTCCCTCTGCTCCTAAAGGGCAATCGGGGCCAGCAGCCCCCTCTCACATCCACCGTGGATGCTGGAGTCACCGCTCACACTCACTGCTGGCGCCGGCCCCAATTGCCCCTAAGGGCTTCTCCACCTCCCCCTGCTCCTGAGGGAGGATCAGGACAGCAACTGCCACTCGCACTCACTGACAGCGCCAGTCCCACTCACACCCGCTGCTGGCACCGGCTCCAATCACTCTGTGCCATCAATGGGTGCGAGCAGGGTCAGCGCCATCACCACATGGGAGCGGCAGCAGCAGGAGTGGAGCTGCTGGCAGACAGGGACTGGGAGCCACAGCAGGAGGTGCCAGGTGGGGGTGTGGGTGATTGGCCAAGACCCGCCCCTGTGCCCACCGCAGCCTCACAGCCCACAGTTCCTTTCAAGGCGCACAAATTCGTGCACTGGGCCCCTAGCCTTAAGTAAAATCCCACTGTTAGGATGTGACACTACTAGGATTTAAAGCTAGGTATGTCTGCTTAAAAGCCTGTGCTACTAACCATTTTACCATTATATTATAAAGTGGGCATACTGAGGATATGTCATGGTGCATGAAGATATTTTGCTGACTCAGAACTATCTGTAATTAACAGAGGTGTGTATAGATAATAAGTGTCAGAAGTTATTCCACTGCTTTTCTTTGAAATGTTTGTCAATGCCCATCTAGTAATAATAAAAAAGAACATTGTATAGCACAGGGGGAAATAAGGACAGAAGTATTCTTGATTGAATAAAGGCAATGATTGAAAGAAAAAGGCTTCCTTCTTCCTCCCTTGGTTCCATGCAATTAAGGGAGAGAGGGGGAGAGAGAAACAGATTATCTTTTCTTTCCAGAAAACTGCCTGTTCAAGGAGAGATAGAAAGGCCAAACCAAAGGTGTATTAGAGCAGAATGAGCCTTCTCTCTGAAACAAGTATTCAGCCTCCTTCATTCATGCATCAGACTTAATGATATGATGACATTGCTGGTACATTTCCACTGGATGTGGTTGCTGACAGTGCTGCCCAAAAGAACCATTTTTAGAAGTGGGAGTGCATGTATGAATTTTCTGTTTGTACGCAATCACAACCTTTCACATTCTCAAGTGTGTGAAAAGACTTGAGGTTGAATAGTAAAGCTGTTTGCAGGTGTAGCCTCTTGCCTTCAATGAGGGTTTACAACTCTTAAAAACAACTTTTGAGGAAAGCTTTCCATTTGATGTGGACGGTGGTGAGAGTTATTTATGTGTTGTGGAGCCAGTGTGATTCCCTGATGAGGAGAAAATTCCCAGCTAATGGTCCAGCAGTTGGGCTTTGGTCAAAGCGAATTACAGTATAGCTTTCAAATCTGAGTGGTTACATTCAGAGCTTATGGCCCTACTGTAGGGGAGGATGCTGGTGTTGCTTGCTTGCTTTTTTTTTTTTTTTTTTTTTTTAAGTGGAAAGGGTGTGAGTGGGATCTGTATTTCCACTATTTCTAATCCCATGTGGCTATGGGTTGGTCATCAATCTTTCTGGCCAAGAGACATCTTTGTTTGCCCCTCAACTTTACTAAAACCACAAAGGTGGAGAGGAAAATGCCTATTCATTAATGTCAGACACTAATTCAAATAGCGTACAGGCCCCAGTTCAGCATTAAACAAACCTCCGTATGTAGTGTGAGTCAGACACGGTTCTGTCAGGCGTGTTTTTAGATATGTGGTTGTTTTAGACATCAAGGCAGTGTGTAAAAAATTTTTCTCCAGGTTTTATGTACTTGAAATGGAAATGAATGAATATGCCTCAGTTTTACACCAGCAATTTTGTATAGCTTTTATTTTAGTATCCAAATGGTAGATTTTATTTTTCAATCCACCAAAAACATTTTATTTGCCAAATATTTGGTAATCTGAAGGCATATCATCTAGATATTTAGAACCTAAGAATGCCTCAGTTCACTTTCTCCAGAGAGATAGATAGATAAATAGACAGACATATGTATATCTGTATGTTTATTTCTCTGTATATATGCCTCTGTGTGTATGTGACTGTGTTTGTGTGTGTATTTCAATTTGGAAAGTAAAAAAATTTTAATTCCTTCAACTAAAAATAAAATTAAAAATTGCTTATACTGTTATTTTCCTTTAACCATACGTAATTTTTTGACTTTCTTACTTTGGCATTTCACAGATTCAGTTATCTAGCAATTGACCTGCTATTTAAATCTATTCAAAAGATGGCCAATACAAATGTGTAGACCTATAGTGTTAACTGGATGTTAAGTGGATGTATCTTGTATATCCACTTCTTCCCTCACAGCATTCACTAGAAAAACATATTCAGAATAAATAAAGTAATATATAATGACTGAAATTATATCACTAGATGCTGTTGTGTTGCCACACTATAATTGAATTTTTAAGTTAAGGCTGCTGGGAAAAGGAGCGATTTAAATGTATGACATACAAATTCTACACTCTATGATTGTAGTTACTTAAATTAACCTCTGTAAAATTATTAGCATGTGGTTTTTTATTTATAACCTCAATTTATTTAATAACTAGGTAGCCAGAAGATTTCTGTACCCCACTCTCTTTGCTCTGTACTGGGGATGCAGCTAAAGAAAGATGAAACTGCTCTTATCCTCATGGAACATTCAGACCAGCATGGCAACACTGCTTTCTGTGCAACAGTATCATTTTACCCTCAGGGTTGAATTTACAGGCGGTCTGTCTGAGCATATTACTTACAGAATTAACTGAAAATCAGTGTCTCAGTGATTATGAATTATGGTGGTGGGCCCCCTAGAAGAGCCGTTTCTTGTAAGAAGTGATTGGAAGACCTCTTGGGGAAGTGGAAATGCCTGAGCTTTTTTTTGTTTGCTTTTTTCCCTTCTTTATAGAGTCAGCGCTGGAAGGCCTTGATGATCTAGGTACTGTTTACCACCATGTTGACCGGCAGCTGAACCAAACAATTAGGCGTCGCAGACATGCAGGAGACAACGATTACAACATTGAAGTGCTGCTGGGAGTGGATGACTCTGTGGTCCGTTTCCATGGCAAAGAGCACGTCCAAAACTACCTCCTCACTCTGATGAACATTGTGAGTAGTGCCTCTTTTTTGAGTTTTTTTTTTAATCTTGTAATTCACGTCTGTCTTGTTACTGTCTTCTGAAAATCCACGTGAGCCCTTCCATGACTGTGCCCCATGCCCAAATGTGTACATACTGCATTAAATGCAAACAGTAACATATACAGTTAACATACAATGGTGCAAAAAGGAAGGAAACATGAAGCACACATTTCTTTTGGTTGATCTACTAGTTTTCTATTGTCATCAAGGGGAAATGATAAATTTAAGAAGTCATAATGTGGTGGGACTGTGACATGAATTATGTTTCTCGTTTTGTTTGGGGAACAATCAAAACTCTCAGGGCTTAGTCTGCCTGCCTTGGTGTGGTCCACGAGGGATGAAACGTCCTTTTAGCATGTTTTGTATACTGGAATGATAAAGAATGACTTAGGCCTGATAACTCTGTGGGGATGCTTGTTGGTAGAGCTTTTGAATAAGAATGATTTTTTTCAGTATTATATTATGAAGGCAATATATTTTTCAAAGCACAGTTAAGTCTTGGCACAGTGCTGCAATGCATTCATAAAGGGCTCTTTAAATTTGTTCTTCATTTCTTCTTTATGAGCCTTAATCACATCCAGAAGAAATTTAGTCAACATTTTCAAACTAGTATTTTTTTTCCTTGTGAATTGACAGAGAAAAATTGAGGGAGAAATAATATATAAATCACTTACTTCTAAAAGACCATTAAGATAGGAGTACAATCTATTTTACATATTTTATCCTTTGGAATTATGAAATGCATATTATATTGATCTATCAAATATGTTACCTCAGCCAGTTGTTTCTCTCTTTCAGCTTTTGACTATAATTGTAATCTCTTTGGACATCTATGTTGGCCATGTATCTTTTTTCCATGCTTAATATTAAATTTCAAATAATTCTACTGGAGAAAAGTATTAATTTTACTAATCATGATTTTATTTATTCTAATGTTTAAGCCTATATGTTAAATATTTTTGTTCATTGAGATGTCAGTTTATAAAATTCCATATATACCGTGTCTCTTTGAAACAGAAAATGAGTCTAGAAATTCAAACACATTTTTATTTGTTCATTGGTACTAACTCCTATCATGAAGACCAATTACCACAAAAAAAAAAAGTGACTGGCCTTGACAATAGATGTGTACAGAGCTTTGCCAATGTGAATTAAATGAATGTCCTCAAATATTGGCTGTTAAATGTTTATACGATCCTAGTTGCATAACTTTGAGTATATGGATTAGCTTCTCTGTGTCTGCTTTAGGCTTCCATCAGGATAATGAGAAAAAAGGATAGGACTAACTAGGGATGTTGGGAGGATTGAATGAGTAGATACAAGTCGTGTGCTTTATACAGTGCTGTATGAACACGCAGAAGTACACAGTCATGTTTTAGATTTTTATATAACCTGATATTTAAAAGTTTCTGTAGAGATGCTGTTCCCCGCTGCATTGGTCATTGTACCCTTTGGCTGCTTTCTCCTACCATTAGCAAGACAGTCAATTATGAAAGACTCGTTAGGCCTCTACCTGGTGCTCAGACTACAGAAAGCGCTTGGAGTAATGCAGCAGATATTCGATATGGTCCTTTGTCCTCACAGAGCTTATCATTTATTTGAGAAAAAAGAAATGTAAGGGAAATTTTAAAGTTTGAGCAATAAAAGGCATATATTCATAAGGTGTTTATTGAAGGTACTACCCTGTAAATTCTATAAGACTTTAGGGAAGGGAGCTATGACAGTGGTCATCCAAGTTGTACAGTGCTGAGAATACAGCTGGGACTTAGGAGGCAGAGGCTTTGGTTTGAGCTCTATTCACTGGTTGGCTCTGGGACTTCAGACGCATCATGTACTTTCCTGGGATTTAGTTTGTGTTTTTATAAAATGTAAAGTTTTAACAAGATGTTCATTGATCATTTAATTCATCAGAAAATATGGAGATAAACTGGGTCTTTAGGGATTTGTTTACCTGTTGTTTCTTTATTTTGCTTTGTTGTTTTTTTGAAGGGCACATAAATATTGAAAAGCAAGTAGAAGTGGATATAGTATATCAAACAGTTCATTTAGGTGTCAGAGAATAAACAAAATGCTTCATTTTAGGTTTTATAACCATCAAAAGAACTTTCATTTTTTAAGTTCATTAGAAAGGTTAGATAATAAAGTGAGTCTCAGTCTCAAAAAAAACCCCAACAAACACACAAATTATTCTAAAGTTAATAGAGCATCAAAGATTGGAACTGAACACAAGAAAATGATTCTTTAAAACATTATTTCATTGCATTGAAGTAATGCATGTTGGTTGGAGTTTTGAGGAGAAGAATGCTC